AGGAGGAGGGGGAGGAGTGGGGGAGGGGGAGGCAAGGGAGGAAGGGCGTGGAGAAGGGAAGGCAGATAGAAGAACTGATGGAACTTTCTCAGCTGCTGGTTCCTGCAGTAGATACAATCACGTGTGATATGTGGGGGAAGGTGGTGGAACAAAGGAGGTAGATAGAAGAATGGGTCGTTCTCTCTCAGCTTCTGCTTAACACTAAATCATTACCAAATATCAGAGGAGAATGTGTGCTATGAGAAGGAGGGAGAAGAAGGAAGGCGAAAAGAAAGGAAGGAAAGAGGAAACAATATATAAGCAGACGATTCTCACAAGAGCGAGAATGACAATGAAGAAAAGCAAAAGGCAAAATAGACGTGAAGAGCATAAAGACGGGACAAGAAAATAGAAGACTAAGGGAGAAGAAAATAGAAGCCCACCGCTTGTTCTCGGCCTGCTGCTTCTTATGCTGAAGCATCTTAATGTCAAGATCCTGCGTCTTCTGTGTCGAAGACTGCATGCCCATGATGTCTCCGTTCTCTTTGAGATGATCGAACGCTGCCTTGCCCTTCAGCGAGCCGCGCACGCTCCGCCGATCCAAGCGAGCAAACTTGGGGTTGTACGTCAAGCCGGGCGGCATCCCGCTCTGTATCGCTGCGTCACCTAGCATTCGCTGCCTGCTGGATGGAGAAGGAAACGTGATGTTAATGTTGCGAGAGAGAGTGGCGTGAGAGTGTTTGTGAGAGGTGCGGCAGGTGTTTGTGAGAGGTGCGGCAGGTGTTTGTGAGAGGTGGTGTTTGTGAGAGGTGCGGCAGGTGTTTAGGAGAGGTGGTGTTTTGAGAGTGCGCGCATGGTGTTTTGAGAGGTGGTGTTTGTGAGAGGGTGCGGCAGGTGTTTGTGAGAGGTGGTGTTTGTGAGAGTTGCGGCAGGTGTTTGTGAGAGGTGGTGTTTGTGAGAGGTGCGGCAGGTGTTTGTGAGAGGTGGTGTTTGTGAGAGGTGCGGCAGGTGTTTGTGAGAGGTGGTGTTTGTGAGAGTGCAGGGCAGGTAGTTTTGTGAGAGGTGGCGCACGGTGTGTTGTGAGAGGTGGTGGTGTGTGAGCAGGTCGCGGCAGGGTTGTTGAGAGGTGTGGCAGGTATGTTGTGAGAGTGGTGTTGTGTGAGAGGTGCGCAGTGTTCTGAAGGTGTGGATAGCGGCAAATGTGTCCGATGAAAAGGGTAAGAGACATGGGAGAGTGGGAGAGAGATATGAAGATGGAGAGTTAGAGAAAGAGATTAGCATATAAAAAAAAAGCAAATGGAGAGTAGAGTGACAAGAGAATGCAAAAAGTAGAGAGAGAGAGGGAGTGTGAGAGCCAAGGCGAGGAAGGGAGAGAGGAGAGAGAAGAAGAGAGGAGAGGAAGGAGGGAGAGAGTGAAAAAGAGAGAGAATAAGAAAAGAGGCAAGACGAAAACACAGAAGAGAAAAAAGAGAAAGAAGGAAAAAAAGCACACGAGAGAGGAAGGAAGAGGAGATAATAGGGGAGACAGATGAGAAACAGAGAGAGATTGAGTAGATAGAGGAAGAGAGAGATTGAGTAGAAAAGAGAGGAGCGAGAAGAGAAAGAGTGAGAGAGAGAAGGATAGATAAGATAGGCGATAAAGAGAGACGATTACATACAAAGGGAGAGTGAGTGACAGAGAAAGCAAAAGAGAGAGAGAGAGAGGGAGGGAGGGAGGGAGGGAGAGAGAGAGAGAGAGGAGGGAAGAGGGGAGAGAGTGAAAAAGAGAGAGAATAAGAAAGGGCAAGACAGAAAAACAAAGAGAAAAAAGAGAAAGAAAAGGAAAAAAGACACAGAGAGAGAGGAAAATAGGGGGACAGAGAGAGAAAGAGAGAGATTGAGAGATAGAGAAAGAGAGAGATTGAGAGAAAGAGAGGGCGAAAGAGAAAGAATGAGAGAGAGAGATAGATAGATAGGGATAAAGAGAGAGATTGAGAGATAAAGAGAAGGAGAAACAGAGATAGACAGAGAAAGAGAGAGATTGAGAGCTAGAGAAAGAGAAGGAGAAACAGAGATAGATAGAGAAAGAGAGAGATAGAGAAAGAGAGAGATAAAGAAAGAGAAAGAGAGATAGATCGAGATAAAGAGAAAGAGAGAAAGAGAGAGATAGATAGAGAAAGAGAGAGATAGAGAGCTGCCACCGCAGCCTAGCATTACCGATTAGCGCTGCGTATCAGTGAGATGATGGCATTCTTCTTCTGGTCGGCCTGGCAGGTGAAGCGGGTCTTCCCCGGCGACACCAGCAGCTGGTATGGCTTCATCTTGTGGTAAGTGATGAGGTCCTCCTCCCCGCGATCGTCCATCAGAGTCTTCAGGAGCAGCGTCGTGTCCGACGCCTCGTCCGCAAACTGTCACGCATGACGAGATAGCCGGCAATGAGTATTGTTCGTGGGAAGTTGCAGAGAAAAATATTTGGGCGTGCATCTTTGGGTGTGATCTGCAGCCAAGACTGCCGTAGGCATTCACAGGGGGGAGGGAGAGTAAAGAGGGGGTCCTCCCTCTCATTGGGGGGGGGTACGGTGCCTCCCCAGTATAATTTGTAAAAAACTGTTGGTGGGCAGTTGCAAACCGACCGTGCAAATCACGGCTGCACGGCTCGCTGGCTAATACGACACAACGGCAGTCAGTGTCACACGGTACATCGACGATGCGGTTGGATGTGTCCACCAGTGTCAGCGACGAAATATAACGTAAAGTATTAAAGTTTGTTAGCCAGCATTATGTGTATGCCAAGACATATTATATATATACAATATGGTTACAGGTAGGTCCCGTTTAATGACAGTGTTAGGTTCAAGTAAAACAGGGTCGTAAAACAAGAGCAAATTATAATGCTATCAAATGCTATCATTCCATCCATAATGCACCACGAAAAACAAAAATAAGGAAGTGCATATTCGTGTTTGAGTTGAGATTTCTAGCGTTATTGGTTATTATTTTTAGGGTTAATTTTTGAAAAGGTCCGTTAATGTGAAAAGTCGTAAAATGGACGAATCGAGGCGATACATGTATATATATATAATATTATATATATGTCTTGGCATACACATTAATGCTGGCTAACAACTTTAATATTGTGATATGTACCAGCATAATGTCCATGACAGGTTTAATACTGACCCAACCCAAGGAAGATGACTTTAGACAACAATTGTACTATTTTTTGTATTTCTTGGAGTCTTTACTTACCTTTGTCACGCATCTCATTAATTCTTTATCTGTTTATTTAACCTCTCACCTGTCTCATACACCTCTCACCTGTTTCGTTAACCTCTCTCATTAACCTCTCACCTGTCTCGTCAATCTCTCGTTAACCTCTCACCTGTCTCATCAACCTCTCGTTAACCTCTCACACTGTCTGCGTCAAATCTCTCGTTAACCTCTCACGCTGTTCTCGTTAACGCTCATCACTCATGTCCTCGTTAAGCTCTCACCTGTCCGGTTAAGCCTCTCACATGCTCGTTAACTCTCTCACGAATGTCCTCGTTAAACTCTCTCACCTAGTCTCGTCAATCTCTCGTTAACACTCTCAACGCTGTCTCGATAAACCTCTAAGCCTGTTCCGTTAACCTCTCACCTGGTCTCGTTAACACTCTCACTCTGTCTCGTCAATCTCTCGTTAACCTCTGCACCTGTCTGCCGGCGCACCTGTCTCAGATCAACCTCATCACACTGTCTCGTTAACCTCTCATATAACCTCTCACCTGTCTCGTTAACGGCTCTCGTTAACCTCTCATCTGTCTCGTCATCTCTCATCAGCGCTCTCACTAGCTGTCTCGTCAATCCTCGTAAGCCTCTTCAGCCTGTCTCGTTAACCTCTCACATGGCTGCGTTAACGCTCATCACACTGTCTCGTCAATCTCTGCGTTTAACAACTCTCAACCGTGTCCTCATCAACCTCTCACTGTCGTCGTAACCTACTCATTAACCCACTCACCTGTCTCGTTAACGGCTCCTCGTAACCTCCACCTGTCTCGTCAATCTCCGTAAACCTCTTTCACGCCTGCTCACCAACCCCACAGCTGTCTCGTCAAATTCTCTCGTTAATCGCTCACGCTGTATTGTTAACATCTGCACGCTGTCCGTGCAATTCTCTCGTAAACCTCTCACAGCTGTTTCTAACAGACTCTCACCTGTCTCGTAACAACTCCTCACCACTGTCCGTCAATCTCTCGTAACGACTCTCACGCTGTCTCAATCAACCTCTTCACCTGTCTCATCATCTCTCACCTGCTCGTCAATCTCGTGCGTTAACCATCTCACGGTGTTTCTGTTAACGCTCCCACCTGTCTGCGTTAACACCTCTCAACACTGTCTCATCAACCTCTCAGCCTGTTTTGTCATCTCTTTGTTATCGCATTCACCTGTCTCTGCGAATCTCGTCGTTAACACTTTGAACGTCTCATCAACCTCCACCTGTCCTCGTCAATCTCGCTCGTTACCTCTCAGCCGTCTCCATAAGCTCTCACTGGCTCGTCAATCTCTCGTTAATTCTCTCTATCTCTGTCTCGTTAACGCTCTCATGGCACGCTTGTCGTCATCAACCTATCACCTGTTCTCGTCAATCTCTGTCGTTAAGCCTCTGGAACCTGTCTACATTCACAAGAGAGAGAAGTTCTTAGCTGTCTCGTCAATCTCTTGTTGAACGCTCTCACCTGTTACATGAAAGCTCTCACTCTGTCCTGCGTGCAATCTCGCTCGTTCACCTCTCACGCGTCTCTCGTTAACCTCTCACCTGTCTCGTTAACCTCTCACCTGTCTCATTAACCTCTCACCTGTCTCGTTAACCTCTCACCTGTCTCATGAAGCTCTCGCGGACCTTCGGTGTGTTGAACTCGCTCGGCAGCTTTGCGAGTTTGATGATCTGCGGCGTGTTCGGGAACTTCTCGTAGATGCGCAGACGCAGCGGCAGCTTCTGCTTGATGCTCGACTGCGCCTCGCGGATCTTCAGCTGTAGTTCACGAACAACAAACGCCGGAACTGTACGCGGGCGTTCACGAACAACGAACGCCGAAACTGTACGCAGGCGTTCACAAACAACGAATGCCGGAACTTTATGCAGGCACTCACAAACAACGAATGCCAGAACTGTACGCAGGCGTTCACGAACAACGAACACACCGGAACTGTACACGGGCATTCACAAGCACAGAGCTGTGAGTAGACCTTCGCGAACACATTGAACTATTCATGTAAGTTTGCAAACACATACATCTATGCATAACTTCGCGAACTTGTGGAACTATACACAGGCCTTCGCGAACACACAGAGCTGTAAGCAGACCTTCGCGAACACACATGGAACTATACACAAAACTTCACAAATGCATCGGAAATCTGCGCACAGCTTAGTGAACACATGGGACTACACAAACCTCATGAACATGCAGAACTGTATGAACAACTCTCATCTGTTCTGATGGTGTAGTAATGTGACGTCAGCACGCCATGCTGTGATATTACCAGGAGTAAGATAATATAGGATATATTATCCTATATAATATATCCTATAATATATCCTGTATTATCTTACTCCTGATATTACTAGTAGGGGTGTAACGATACATTTGGTTTCAGATAGGTTCGGTTTTTGGTTTTTTCTCTTCGGTTCGGTTCATTCGGTTCGGTTATTTTCAGTAGTAAAAATGCTTAGAAGATGGGGAAATTTTCCCTCCATTTTGAATAATATTATCAAACACGTTGGATATTTTCCTCAGTGGCATGAATGACCAAAATCTCACGCATTGTCACCCCGCACACGCTGAGAAAAGTACGAGGGACGGGGCTTGGCGTAAGTGCTGAGCTGTTTGCTCGCCGTGCCAACCCCCCCCCTAACTGAGAGTGGGTTGAATGTATTTCCCGGAACCGAACCGAGAACCGAAACGAAAAAAAACAACTGAAAACCAAACCGAACGGGATGTACCGCAATGCAGTTGAATCGCGGTTAATCGTTACACCCCAAATTACTAGTGTAACGCAGGCATATGCACTTACCTGTTTGAGTTTCTTTATGTCTTCATCCAACTCCAAGTTATCAAGGATGACAGCCACGAAAAGGCTGAGTACAATCTGTTGAATTTAAGCCACGAAGGCATCATCATATCAGCATAGCAAATATATCCACGCACGCACAGAACATTGCAGTTGACTTACAATGGTCGATTAAATTAAATTGTGCCGATTTTTCAAAATATTCGAAAAAAACAAGGATGCATCCTACACAGAGTATATATATAATAGGTGTTTTGCTATCACCGCAATTTGATATTGGCAGGTGTACTAACCGAAAAAAATAACCTGCTAAAAACTGAATGTTCAGCAAACCTCGGTCAGAATGAAAGGTTATAATGTTCTTATAAAGTAACTACAGATCAATAAGAATTCAATTAAGGCAGTTTGGTGTATCACAGCTGACATTACAGCCATTGAACATGTGAAACATATTAAAACATAAACACACATCAATATTAGGCACCAACACTGAAGCCACGGAGAAATTCTCAGGCAGGTATAACATTTGATTATATATATAATTAATCACGAGTGATTAACATGTCAATACAACGAAAGATCACTCGCAGACAAACACGTAGCACAATAGGGTGTATAGATTGTTATCACAATGACTCCCAGCTCTCTCTCTCTCTTTCCCTCTCTCTCTCTCTCTCTCTCTGTCTCTGTCTCTGTCTCTGTCTCTGTCTCTGTCTCTGTCTCTG